GGCAGCCGCAACCGTCGACTACACTGTACACATAACATCAGGATATTTGCTCGTTTTCGATTCCTGACACCCAAGTTCCAGAAGGATGATCGTGTAGGCGATTAAAGAGTGTTAGCAATATCGCGAAATCTAAAGTAATTTAAATAAATCATCGTAAATGTCGGCCACAAGTTATATCGCTTTCATATATCCCCAGTTCCCTCTGCACGGCGATTGAAATGTGTTTTGGTAATTGGAATATATATGACTTGGAAAAAATAAAAAGATGATAAAAACTCGCCACGACATATAATTTTTTTTATGATATCATATATATAGGTTTTTCTATACACTGTTAAAAATAATAAGGAAGTTTACGCCAATTCGGGTGGAAATTACTTGCCAGCTAAATAGGGATAACTCCTAACCTTTAGTGGTGTAAACCGATAACACCCAACTAGTGTAGAACATTACACCAATTCAGGTGGAAACTAGTTGCCACTTCCAGTAGTGTAACCTGCCTGATGCACTCAGACAGTGTAATGTTACACTTAAATAGTTTACACCCGTGGGTGTAGATTAGGCATTACCCCCCAAGGATGTTTTGTAAATTACGCTTCCATTTTAATCATTAAACCAATGCAGGTATAATTTGTTTTGTTAGATATTTATTTCAAGCCAACAACTTCTAAGTTCTATGATAATTAGTACATGTATGTATAGGGCGTTTAGCCCGACCCAGATTACATATAACCGTCGGCTACTTCGCTTCATTTTACAACGACATTAAATTGACAAATATCAAACAGACTGATTCAGATTCAACTGCTGTTGGGCAATTAGACAATCTGTATCAGTTTATAATGCTTATAAATCATGAGGAAAAATCAATACACATATCCTTACAACTTAGCTGAATAATGTGGTTTATTCATTTATGCACCTCACCTGAATTAAGAATAATCAATTAAGATATAGTACTTGGTAATATTTTGGAACATTTACTCGTCTTTAAAGAAGCTAAGTCTCTAACTCAATATTATCCAAAATCTTCAACATTGAAAATTAAATTAACATTCATGTTGTGAACTTACCGGAAAAAGATGGACTTTTGATATTCAATATTTAAGACAAAATAAACATTTTACCATTGGTACACGAATCGTGTACCATAATGCGCTTCAGCCCCAGATGTATCAAGAGACTCGAGGGACGAGGCTATACACATTGCACCAAATCAAACGGCGTATGTAGACTGGAATAACCAGACGCTAGAAATTTGCACTCGCTTGAGACTGCTGGCTTATTTTGCCAAACATAACTGATTTGAAATTGGACTAAAAACGGAAACCATTGAATGTAAATCAGTTTATATACATTCATATTACAGTATTATATGCGTTGCAACCCCCTTTTGTCAATTTCTAGGTCCCAAATGTTAGCGATTTAGCTCCTTTAAGTGTATACAAGTTAAAATAATCTATTAAGATTATTATACATGATAAAAAAAAACACTGAAATTGGAGTCCACAAACACTTTTTTAACGCAAGATACGGTGTAAAATTAACACCTTATTCGAAGGAATGTTTACCTAATAATAATTACACCTATTGGTGTAAATGCAATAAAATGCTTGTAGGGGTGTGGCTCATCCCAAACACCCGTTAGGGGCTACAATTACACCTATTCTAATGTCCAGTACTCATGAATATCGAGTACACCTTTGTATAGGATTTATTCCCCTTTGGTGTAAATGCTGTATAACACTGGTAGTGGTGTAGTTTATCCAAAACACCCCACAATTACACCTGTTCAGGTGTTCAGTGGTCATGAATATCGGTTACACTTGTTGGGTGTAGCTCTATTAGTCGGTAACCCCTTGTAAAAGTGTTACAGTTTACACTTAAATAACACTACTTATAGTTTTTAATCACACCCATTTTTAACAGTGTGCGAATCAATAAATAAAAAAGCCCACGCTAAGAATTTATCAAATATGTTTATCTATATTAATAAAGTAAAACGACTCATTCTAAGAATTTATTGACGAACAGATCTAAATTTCTATATCAAATATCTACATTAATAAAGTGAAAAGACTCGTTCTAACAATGTATTTTATCGACGAACAGGGCCGAATTTAACACTGACCTGACCCAGTGCACGTTTTTACATAGCCATTATTTTCAACCAAAGTTTTAAAACAAATTAAATATTGATGTTTAATTTAACGTCAAGGGCACCACGGATGAAATGAAATGAAATGGGGCAAACAACCTACAGTGTGCTATGAGGGAAATTTTATTTCAAAAATTCGCTTGTGCGTACGGGTCTTTAAAAGTGAGAGGAAACCGGAGGACCCGGAGAAAACCTACGAGGTTGGACAGGCGACCCTACTCCTTGTCACGTATAACCGGGGATTCGAAACCACGCCAGTTGACTCAATAACAGACCTTATGATAGAGCGCGCACGCTAACCATTCGGCCACCCCCACCCCCCGAACAGCAGCACTACGACCTCTTCTATCGAATTCCAACTGTCCGGGGTTATTTTACGTGCACACCAATTCACCCGAACGACTATCCGTTGTCCTGACAAAGAGGGGCTACGCTTCACTACAGATCGATACATCGTCATACAAATTTAAACTCATTTATAACCAAGTTGTCAAGGTTAAATCGGGACGAAAATGATTTGGAACATCAAATATAAAATGATTGGGAACATCAAATATAAAATGATTGGGAACATCAAATAATGATTGGGAACATCAAATATAAAATGATTGGGAACATCAAATATAAAATGATTGGGAACATCAAAATGGGGTTAATTAAGAAGGATACACGTCACGAGTTCTTTTACGTGTACACTGGGCCCATTGTTTCATCTCACCCAAACGACCAGACACGGTTTCTACAGGTGACAATTCAATGTAATACAATTACTGCTTATTACTGAGCGACGTTTCGAGTCGACGTCTCTATTTTTTATCACTTCAATGGAACACATTTACTGCTTATTACTGAGTGACGATTCCAACAGGACAATATATACATGTACACGACAACATTTAGTTTATCAGACACGTTTCTTTTTAGGCGTCCTTAGCACCACTGACACGGGTAGTCCACGCAGGAAAATCCCGACAAAACAAAATCACACACCCCCCCTCCACACATACACACACACACACACCCACACCCACACACACACACACACACACCTAAGATGGCTCCATAGGGGTTTTTTAGTAACCTTGGAAATGGCCGACAATCAACTTACAATGTCAGGTTAACCTAACATGAATATTAGCAGCTAATGCCGTGACATCACAAAATCTTTGATTATTTAATTAATTAATTAATCAATGTGAAAAGTTTTGATTAATCAAGTCATGGAAAAAGTACCCAGGTTCGATTAGTGCGTGATAGTAGTTCTACATGCCCCTTCTTCTTTTAAAACTAATAAATTAATCATATCTGTATTATTCCATGCAGGAAAACTTGTCAAGAAATCGCCATCAAGTATGAAACCTTGGCGCCAAAACACCTGGTTTTATAAATGTCGGTCACGTAGATAGTAATTGTCTTTAAAAAGGTTCGATGTACTTTTTAATTCAAGGTGAGGAGGGGTGGGGGGAATTGTCAAATGGTTAGGACGTGCGCGCTGTATCATAAGGCCTGTCATTGAGTTAACTGGTGAGGTTTGGATTCCCCGGTCGTACGTGATAAGGAGTAGGGTCGCGTGTCCAACCTTGTGAGTTTTCTCCGGGTCCTCCGGTTCCCTCCCACTGCTAAAGACCCCTTTGCGCAAGCAAATTATTTAAATAAAATTGAACCATATGTTAGTACCGAAATGTCCTAGATTGTGTCGAGTGGACGTTACCCCCCCCCCCCCCTTCTATATTGAGGTGCAATGTGTCACCTTCAATCGTCCATGAGAATATCCCGAGAAGCAAAGCTCCAGCGAATGCCCAGCTTACAAATTCATTAAGCACGACGTAAATCCATGACTTAAAGACTAAAAAGGTCCCCAAAACGTGAAAACATTAATTTCTTTCGGATCCTCCACCCCCACCCCCTCTCTCTCTCTCTCTCTCTCTCTCCCCCTCTCTCTCTCTCTCACACCCGCCCCACTCTATCAAGCACATATGACACGAGAAAAATCTCGAGGAAGATTTTAAGCCGGAATCTTCTGATTAGCGAGACAGTGTTCTACTCAACAAACCACCGTGGAAGATAACATGACCTATCCAATTATGTGAAGGTAATTGAATATATGTACGTTAATTTGGTGTTTCAGTCTGGAAACAATCATTAGACGAACATTTAGATTTCTACAACTCATGTAAACACATCGGATTCAAGTCAAAATAAATGAAACGAAATGAGGTTTAACGTCCTCCTGTTCTGCTCCGACTGGGTTAATGAAGACGGGTTACGCCATACAGTGTGCTATGGAGGAAATTTTGCCCGGTCAGCGGCACTACGGCCTACTCTGATATCGAATTCCAACTTCAAGGGATCTTCTTTTACGTGCACGCCAATGTGTACACGGGACCTCGGTTTTTCGTCCCATCCGAACGATTAGACAGCTGTCCTTGCCAGGCCCTCCGTCCTGACAAGGGGGGGGGGGGGCACGCCGGAAAATCTGGATGAACTTTCTCGACCAATGCAGGGATCGAACACCCGACATCCAGGCTAGCGAGCCAGCGCCTTATACCCACTTAACCACCGTGATCCCCATCAAGCATAATGTATAAAATATACATATTTATTGATACATGTATATATCTGTAATGAATTGTAAGTGTCGGAAAATATATTTAATAATTTTAATTCATGAAAATGAGCAATTCTGAAATCGGAATAGATTAATTAGTGTTTGATAAAAATAATACACATCATTTTAAATTTTTAAATAATAATGGGCCCGTAGGTTTAGTAACAAACCAAAGCACATTAAACTTTTGTCCGGGTTTGGCTTCCATAATTTGATAAAGTTACAAGGGGAATAACTCTGTTTATCCTCTTTTAATCATGGCGTCGAACACGAAGGAGAAAACACGTGTGACAGGAGAAATCGAGTTAGGATTCATTGAAGAAGCCGATAGCAATAGTTTACTGTCTCATCAGTTTCCTAGTAAAGTAGGGGGCATGCCAGCATGGCTTTCACTGAAGCCATTACCAAACCTGCAGCAGTTGAAGTGTTTGAAGTGTGGCGACCCGACTGTGTTTTTGTTACAAGTGTATGCACCGCGTGATGAGGTCGAGCAAGCCTTTCATAGGACAATGTTTATCTTTGTGTGTAGAAATCCGTCTTGTTGTGTCAGTAACACTAACAGTAATTTTCGTGTATTTAGATCTCAGTTACCGAAGATAAATGATTTTTATAGTTCCGAGCCACCAAAGGAGGGCGTGTCAAATCCGGACGATCACCCCCATGCGGGTAAATTACAACCTTTATGCATCATATGCGGTGCTGCGGGGCCTAAATTATGTGGTAGATGTCACAAAACGTCTTACTGCAGTAAACAGCACCAAACGGTCGACTGGAAGTCCATACATAAAACTATTTGTACAGACTCGGATAACGTGTCCTCACCCGGAGAAGTGAATAAACCCATGTGTTTCAAAAGTCCGAATGTTCTTTTCCCGGAATTCGATCTTGTGACGGAGCCAGAGAACTATGCGAAAACGAACGAAAAGGACGAACAAGAAAAAATGAACGAATATAAAGAATTCTTAGCATCCGAAGCAGCCAGGTCGTTGTCGGAGGATCTGGACGAGAAAGAACTTGAACGAACCGCAACTAAACAATCCGAAGACGACGAGCAGTTTTTAAAGTTTAAGGAGAGAATTCGACACGAACAACAGCAAATTCTTCGATTTGATCGCGGTGGTGAACCATTGTGGATTTCCGCCTTGAATAAACCGAGTGAAATACCTCGGTGTACTTGTGGTGCTGAACGACAATTTGAATTCCAGGTATTACCTCAGCTCTTAAATGATCTAAATGTGGATAGTTTGGGTGAGAGTATTGACTGGGGTGTTCTATGTATTTATACGTGTACAAATAGCTGCCATATTGGTAATAAATACCAGGAGGAGTATCTATGGAAACAAGACATTGTAAAACCTGATTGACAATAAATAAATATTATTTGTTATAATGCACGATTTACTGAAATCGCTTTTGTTATTTATTATATTAAATTGACGAAAAAGAAATTGTTTTTGACATTGTATCACTTTGTTATTTATGATATTAAAAAGATAATTATATAAAAAGCTATTTTCGTGGGAATTTTTTTCATTCGTGTCACGCGCTTCTTTTCATTAATGGAATTCCTTGTCATTCAAAGAAGTAATGTCAACAACTAAACCTCTCTCTCTCTCTCTCTCTCTCTCTCTCTCTCGTTTGTTCGACAGCCGCGTATATTTTCACCTAAAAGCCTTCGATCGAGATTAAGTTATGAGCGCATATCGTGCCGTGGAGAGCACCAAATGGATACAGACCACTGTTCTTTCCCACCATTTGATCAATTCAATTGAGTTCTTTGTAATTATTGTCTCCACACCCACTCCTTTGGCGATTTTGCAGGCAGGTGGGGTCGTAATAAAGACCTTATGATTCAAAGCGCATGCGTATGATTCGACCCTACACCCCTTACCAAACTTAGATTAAAATGCCGAACTTATGAATTTCATTAATTTCACCCTGGTCGAAGCCCGTGAACATTGTACATGCCTGGTATTGAACTCATAAAACAGACAATGTGATAATTTGAAAGGAATTGGCGGCCAAATATTATATGGTTAATATAATCATAAAGATTGAAGATTTTTTTTTTGTTTGTGCAAATGTAATAGTCCCTGTTCTGAAATGTATTAATAATATATTGTATTTTGAGAATAATTGGCGGCCATTTAAAAGGACACTAGGCCGTCTAATCCCCACCAGTAGGCCGGAAACCCTTGGGACACGCCTCTTGTATACTAAACAGTATTGTACTATTACATCACAATTAATTGTCGTTTTTAATGGAAATATATGGACTATTTTCTCAATGTACACTAATACCACAGCTAACTTTTCAATCACCGTTCCTAGTTGAATTAACATAGGCTAATAGAATTACTGTCTCAAGAATCCACTTACCATGTTGTCCGAATGCCTTGCAAAAACGCCATTATCTTGCTTGGCGTAAAAGCCTTAACCTTCGCCATTGGATGCCGAATGACCTGATGTTCCATGCGATTTTATTATCCAAATACGTGTCATAAAAAAACTACGGTTGTCCTTGAATTGTGCTAGAATTGTTCCATTACACAATAGAATAAAGAGAAGCATTTTACGTCTGGTGAATGATAATGATTATTTAATAGACCTGTACTTCCAGGTGTTGAAATCACGCAATCAAACAACTAAAGTTAAACTAGACAATTTCATTAATTAATTAAGAAATGGGCGGAGCTATATAAACGGGTTAAATCTAGTTAATGACTTTATTGTTGATAATAATGGCGATGTGGTCAAGATATAAATCTAGATACATTCTTTATCATATTGGTTTTTTTTTTTTCTAACCTAGACAGTTATTAATTAATTATAAAATGAAATGAAATGAAATGGGGTTTAACGTCCTACTGTTCTGTTCCGACTGGGTTAACGAAGACGAGCATACAGTGTTTAATGAGGGGAATTTTGCCCGGACAGCGACAGCCTAACCTTATATCGAATTCCTACTTGTGAGGCCCACAGTCATACACCACTGACAAAGGGAAACAGCGCCGGAAAATCCCGATGTGGTATCTCGGCCAACACAGGGATCGAACACGGTACACCCAAGTTAGCGAGCCAACGTCTTTTTTTTTTTCTTTTTTTTTTTAACAAAATGTTTATTCATGAAATATAATACATTGCATTTATAAAGATATTCTAGGATATGAATGGTACAATAATTAAGAAATGGGGTTTAACGTCCACTCGACACAAACTAGGTCATTTCGGGACTAACATATGGTTTAATTTTATTTACATAATTCGCTTGCGCGTAGGGGTCTTTAGCAGTGGGAGGAAACCGGAGGACCCGGAGAAAACCCACGAGGTTGGACAGATGACCCAACTCCTTGTCACAGCAGTGTTTAAGTTTTATGTACATAATTTTAAAAAAAAATTCTTTAGAATTCAGATTTGTAGTAAGGTATCTAACAACAAAGTAATAAAGGAACTATTTAAAATTTGCAAATCGACTATGAGCGTTCGGAGGAAACCTGTTCTCGAAGGGCGAAAGGCTTGAAAGGTTACTCACTGGGCCACCGCGATTCCTAATTAATTATGAATTCGTGGAGTTATATAAACCGGAATGGATAATAATACACTGTTAATTATAAAATTGCTGACCTATACGTAAAAGTAAAGAATTTGTTCTTTAAATTTTCTTAACCTTGGCGCTGACCCTTACCCTCTTTTGGCGATGTTGTGCAATGCAGGCAATACCACGGGTGAATTGCTTGGGTATAATCTTTCTCGTGTTTGTGATTCTTGTCCTTTTACTGTTTAACGAGGATTGTGTCTTGTTGTTGTTGTTAGTGGTTTACGTCCGCTTCCACCGAAGGTGATATCGCAGACAAGTTTTCTTATCGTCATTATTATCTTAGCTCACGTACAGGGGTCTTTCCTGTTGGAGGAAACCGGAGTAAACCCACGAAGTTGAGAAGGCGCCCCTATCTCCAAGCCACATACGCTCACACCAGGGATCGAAACCCCAACCGTAAGCCAGAGATGTCCGGCCAGCTAGACCACTAGGCCATCCCAACCCCCTTATAATGTGATATTCGTTCAGATGGGATGAAAAACCGAGGTACCGTATCATGCCATAACGTGTACCACGGCGCTGGCATTGTTATTTTTCCAGCTGCCGACTCAAGAGATATATCTCTGGCATCACCAACGACAGTCGGTTTTTTTTTGTTTTTTTTTTTGGTTTTTTACTTTTAGTTAAATATCAGGGATCCCAACAACAGTCGCCGATAATTTATCGGGGTCTTACAGTGTCGGTTAATCGATTATCATGAATTATAACCGACATATAACCGTTAGTGTGTGTCTCGACAATAAAATTTGTTTAATGTTCACTAGTTTATAATTACCATCGTAATGGCTACTTTAATAATTAATGTAGGTCATTTTAAACAATGTCTATTACCATTATCAGCAATTCTAAAAATGCCAGAGGATCCGCACTGTTCTCTCCATAACACAGACAGGCAGATAATCTATGCCTCTGGAACCACTTCCTTTATCCCTAATAAACCATAATTTAACCAGTTCTGGTAGATTGTTATTAACCTTTCAAAGCACAAACATCCCACAATATCGGTGAAGAGAGAGAGAGAGAGAGAGAGAGAGAGAGAGAGAAATGTGGTTTAACGTCAACTCGACACAAACTAGGTCATTTCGGGACTAACACATGGTTCAATTTTATTTCAATAATTCGCTTGCGCGTATGGGTCTTTTGTAGTGGGAGGAAATCGACGGACCCGAGGAAAACCCACGAGGTTGGCAATATTGGTGGAAATGAAATGAAATGAAATGGGGTTTAACGTCCTACTATTCTGCTCCGAACTGGGCTAATGAAGACGGGCATACGCAATACAGTGTGCTATGAGGGAAATTTTGCCCGGACAGCGGCCAATATTGGTGGAATAGATTCCTAATACCATACACAACTTTCATTAAGTTTAAATTCTATTTGATAGAACAATATTATCAAATTTAAGTTATGGCCGTTTAAAGTTTGGGTTAGTTTGTGTCAAGTGGGCAAATAAAACAAAACTAATTCTGTCATCTTTTATGTATAAGGCGTACCATTCTTTGAGATATTTTTTATGATCGCATGTGCTTAATTACATAACAGCGGTCTTGAGATGCATTATACAAGATTTAGATAAAGAGTTGGCCGACCTTGCCGTAATAGTTTCAAATAGATAAAACAAATTGATTTCAGTCACATTACTTCTAGGCGAAGCCATGATTGTTTTTAGTTTATGACGTCGACAATCTCCGCCCGTCTTTCCGTTCACATTAGTTTGAGGACAGTTTACTGGTCATATTTATTGTTTGTATTTGGAGAGAGAGAGAGAGAGATATGGGGTTTAACATCCACTCGACACAAACTAGGTCATTTCGGGACTAACATTTGGTTTAATTTTATTTACATAATTCGCTTGCGCGTAGGGGTCTTTAGCAGTGGGAGGAAACCGGAGGACCCAGAGAAAACCCACGAGGTTGGACAGGCGACCCTACTCCTTGCCACGTACAACCGGGGATTCGAAACCACGCCAGTCGACTCAATGACAGACTTTATGATACAGCGCGCGCACGCTAACCATTCAGCCATTCGTCCATCCAACCCCCTTTTTGTATTTGGTCTTCTGAGACCTATCTGTACAATCTGGCATAATGTGCCTTAAATCAGAATGTTCAGTAGAGTCCATAATGTCCTCATATTCTGAACTCTGACCAATAATGTCTGGACCTGAGCTCTGACCAGTATTGTATCTTAGAGCATGACGTTAGATTAAGAAAATAGGCACAGAATCGGTCTATAATCATTAATAATAAATACTTATAACCATCGTCTTTCTGCCATCAGTCTATCGACTATTATAATAACTATTGAATATGCGAGAGAAAGAGAGAGATAGATTAACGTCCACGCGACACAAACTAGGTTATTTCTGAGAGAGAGAGAGAGAGAGAGAGAGGGGGTGGTAACGTCCACTCGACATAAACTAGGTCATTTAGAGACTAACATATGGTTCAATTCTATTTCAAAAATACGCTTCTTAGCTGTGGGAGGAAACCAGTTGGACAGGTGGCCCTACTCCTTGTCACGTACACCCACCCCCTCCCTCAACTAGACTAGTAAAGTAAGAAAGGGAGTTTAACGTCCTACTGTTCTGCACTGACTGGTCTGATGAAGACGGGCATACGCCATACATCCTTCGCTACGGCCTGTTATATATTATTCCAAAAGCCAAGGGATCTTTTACGTATAGCCTAAAGTGCATACAGGACCTCGGTTTTTCGTCCCATGCAATGTCCTTGGCTCTGGCCCTCCGTCCTGTACCACTGACAAGGGACCTCCAACGTCTTACTCACAGG